TTCTAATTTAATACAATTATTTAATATCGGACTTAATAGTCACTATAATGTAAAATTGATTTACATTTTAAGTCATCAAAAGTAAATATCAAGGCGAAAATTTGAAAAATGTGCGGTGGACACTGATTGTATTTTTTCATTTAAAATAATACTAAAATTTTCTTTTGATGTATTTAACTTTTTTAATAATAGAAGCCAGTCTTTGTTATAGATCTTAGAAGATAAAATGGTGAAAATCCGAAGATATCATTAAAGCAAGGACTAGTTACTGATGATATAGCCTAAATTAGAAGTTTTTATATATACTTCGTTCTTCTCAGTATAAATACAAATCTAAATAAACTAATTATAGCTAAAAAACCTGGCTAATTAGCATAATTATATAGATGTTAATCATTAAATACGAACTGAGTAGTAATAAAAAAATTATTCAGTCAACAACAGCCATTAAATTATTTTTGCTATTGTAAACAAATTTTTATACATCAGTCAATGTACGAAAAGGTAAAAAATTGAACAGTTTTTATTTTATCGTTTTTCTAATAATTTAATACAATTAGAAGAAGAATATACGACTTTAAGATTAGTATTTTAAAATAATTTAGAGAAATAAACTGTAATTGTAAAGCAAATTAATTTGTTTAGTAACTCATAAAGTGGAAGAGATAATTCTATAGTTTAAAATATAATGTAAGAAAATATGTCGCATAAGAAGTTCAATATATTTCTTACAATCAATCAATAAATGTTCAAACAAAAAAGTTTACCTGAATAAATAAACTAAGCCAATATTTCTACTTCATTTTCGAAGTTAGGCAAACCACGCCAGAAGTACTAACGTAATTTTAAAGCTATCGTTCATTTAAATATGTCCAGTTCTAAAAAATTCAATCTCGAATTTTGATTCGTAACATCCGCACGAATTATTTTTATAAGGTAGAAGAATCAATAGAGCGAACATGACCTTGTCATTGGTAGCTGATAATGCAATTTGATGTAAATGGCATTACATCTTTTATCTCATTGTATACAGAAGGTTTAATGTTTAATGTATTATAATACACTTAATAATAGCATTGTTGACATAAATCTGTCAGAAGGACATTACGACTATTTATGATAAGATAAGCCCTATAGAAATTTTGTGTTTTGATTAATCAAATGTTTACAGTTTTTCCTGAATAAACTTTATTTTTAATTTTATTCTAAGTATAAAATTTTTATATAATAAGTTACACAGTGTAATAAACAAATATATTATATATTTTGATTATTTGTTTATAGATCATAATTACGTTTTGTTCAGCATTACAATGCTGTATTAAACAACGTAAGTAGTGTTTGGTGTTGAAATATATGGAAAATGGTAAAATACAATGAATAAAACTTAAACTTTAAATACAACTTTAAAAAACATCTTTCCATAACGTCTTCCTAGAATTTATCTAGATTCAATTTTTATATATTCAACATTTCTACAGGTTAATACATCCAATTGTGAAATATACTAGTGAAAAGGTAGATTTTATGAATTCTCTTAGTTAATTAAACTAAGAGAATTAATTTAAGTTAAATGAATAAACTAATTAAACTATTCTGTTAGTTTCAGAAACTGTTTTTATATTTATGTTAAATAAGTGTACTATTATAGAATATAATTTTCTCCAAATGAATTTCTGTTGATACACCTATTATCTATAAAGTATAACTTAATTAGAGCTAACAGGTTTATTATATAGGTTTTTGTTAATTCAACTTAATCGATTTTTTTTATTTTTTGTGTCATAAAGAAACTAAAATGGTAAAATATATTTCTTTTTAACTTTAAATACATTATGTGACAAAATAAAATGGATCATTACACATTTCCTTCATACTTTTCCAAAGATTTAAACATTCTTAATTATTGCAACGAATTATAATTAATTTCATAGTAAAATTACGTTATTTAGTACACTTATTATGATTATTTATGAAAGATTATTTATAGATAAGACAGAACATCTGATAGCAAAGTTTTCATTTTATCAACAAGAACTCAAAATCTCCAATTTTTGACAAAATTAATAATTTTATTCGTAGTTTGCTTTTTGTAATCTTATACCTAAATACGATGAGATTTAATTGGTTTATCTACTAATCTATGGAATAGTTACTTGCTAAAAGAAGTATTTAAGTATTTGGTTTAAATGTCTTTATGATAACTAAAGCTATTTTTAATAATTTGTTATTATAATTAAGTTGATCAAGATAAAATATTTATAATTTTGTATATTTTTACATCAAAAATCACTCGAAAATCTTAAATTTAGCGATAATATTTGCACTAGTTATAGGTCAGAAGATACAATATAACTTTCTTTCATTATACGTGCATTATTATTCAAGAATTTTCTAATTTAATACAATTATTTAATATCGGACTTAATAGTCACTATAATGTAAAATTGATTTACATNAAATTTTCGAAAAATTAAATATCTCAATTAGTCTTTTCGTAAATTTGGCCATTTTCAAAGTAATATTTAAATATTTTCAAATTGATTATACGCATTATTTTTTCTAAATTTGAACATAAACTTTTTAAGGCCAATCATTTAAAATGTATAAAATTATTTTAAACAGAAGAAAAAAAAACGAAAATCTTAAATACCAAAATACTATTGAAAGTGAATGTTTAGCAAGGAACGAGAATACATTGATATGGGAATTAGTAGGAAATTCTAATATTTTACGAACACGATGAACCAAAATCAGTTTTATAATAGACAAGTAGTATAGAATAATTCTAATAATGCAACAATAGAAATCCGTTATCGTTCATTCGGAACGAAATATTGTATAGAAGAGGGCATTACTTTTTCTATTACACTTTTAATGCGATAAAGAAAATAATTTCGATTCAATAATGGAAATTGTAATATTGATATAGAAGGGAGTAGCCCAAAATGGCATTCTAACTAAATTTCCACACAATAATCAAGAATTTGCGATTATTTTATTAAACAAAGGTTGCTATAGGTCAAGTACTCTCAGCGACAAAATTTAAGTCTTTGACATAAATTTTGTCAAAGACTTAAATACTCAAAGACTCCTTAAAATAACTGATTATTAAAACAAAGCGAAGTACTGTGCTATATCCAAGCCATTTCCACCAATTTATCGTAACCGACAATTTTGCCGAAATTAACGAGTTATTATGCACTTCAAATTACGTCACAAAATTCTTGTAACACTGTAATGGATTTCTAAAAATTATGAAGATAATTTTATCGAAAGTTTTGTTTCCATTTACTCCATATTGTATGCGACATAAAAACACTAAATAAATTTATCATAATTTCTTGTGAACATCACTTATAAAAATATTCTCCAGGTGATGCTGTGCATTTCAGTTTATTCATATTTTAAATTCCAACGAATAAGTAACTTTTCTTGTTTTCAAAATTGAGTTTTTCGCTTAAATCGTATCATTTATAATTAAATTTAAACTCATTGCTTTTTCTATTTTGAACACTTCTGTGAAATTAATCTGAAAATAGCTGCAAAAGCTATTTTTGCAAATTATTTACACAGAATTCTGTATTCGTGTATTTATAAATTATATTTTATGATGCTCTATAAATAAAATATAATTTATTATTTCCATAGTAATTTTTATTCACCATTTGAAACTATAACAGTCTTATAGAGTGACTTTAAATAATTTTTTTGAACAACCAAATTTAATAATTTATTCAGAAACTTTCATTCAAAACATTTAATTTATTAAATAAATTTTTTTCACATTAACATATTTTTAATATTTTTTTAAAAACAAATAAATAATAAATAAATAGGAAATAAATACTTTTTTACATACAAATGAACAATAAGTAAATAAGAAATAAATATTTTTTAAATACAAATAAACAATAAATAGGAAATAAAGCTTTTTTTGAAGTTTTAAATTTTAAACTTTTTTTTTCATTTTTACATTTAAAAGATTTTTATTATTTTTAAATGTTAACAATTTTTTATGCCTTAAAAATTTATAAATAAAAATAACAATAAATACATATAAAGTAAAGAAAAATAAAATTAAAAATGGATAAATATGAATGACGAATAAATAAGTAGTAACTAATTCACAACAAAATAACTATGTACAACAAAAGAACGAAGGCAAACACAAAGGAACGAAAGCAAGCACGAAGGCATGAAGGAAAGCATGAAGGCAGGCACGAAGAAAAATTAAAAACATTGATGAAATTTATCTATCTCATTAATTTTTATAGATATAGCGACAAACATCCTAAAACATCGATATATTTTTGTTTGGTTATAGTCAGTTTATCGCGTCTCAACGAAAAACTTAAATATTTACATAGAAATTTTAAAAATATTTTGGTGGATGCTGCTGTGGGAATACCAGAAACTTCAAAAGAATTTATCTATCTTATCAATTTTTGAAGATATAGCAACAAACACCCTAAAAAATCGAAAAATTTTTTTGGTTATCTGTAAGCAAGCACGAAGGCAGGCACGAAAACAAACACGAAGGCAGTAAGGCAGGCACAAAAGCATGAAAACAGAATTTTAAACAGAAGAATTTCAAAATTTTTGAAATTCTTCTGTGTAAAATTCTAGACAAATTAAGTTTTTGTGCTGATTTTAGCAAATTCGTAAAACTCAGTAAACCACTACTTTAAATTTTCCTTAATGCAGATTATATTATACTTATGTCGAGAGAGATTTTAATATTATGATTAATTTATTTAAAAAATATAACGTAAAAGTCACGCAAATAACCAGGAACAAATAAATATAGAGTAAATACAAGATGACTAAGATGCGACCTTACCATCATGGTAAGGCCGCATCCTACAATTATGATTATAACATAGTCTTTTTATAACACAGAGAGTAAAGCCTGTTAATAGTGAAGGCTACAATATTCTGTTTCCGCTTTAACTGTTTTCTTAACTTCTGTGGACTTTAGTAGTAACAGTGGTGCGTTCTATCGTCACAGGTACAGTACTTCATACACAATGAAAGTACAGTGGTTGCAAGATAAAGAAATCCTTCTAGACGTAACTGTTATTCAGACGTTGATCTGAACCGTACCTTTTTCACCATTGAGCATTTTACTTTCTTCTTTTCCAACACGAACAGATGATGGATGGAAGTTTGCAGAAAAATATACAAAAACGTCTGAGCACATTGTTGTTTCCTGCAAAGAGTATAAATATATTGGTAATCTAGCAGATGACAACAACAAAGATTAAGATTATTGCATTATTTCCTATTTCTAACTCTTCTATTGTATCATTGTATTGTATTTGATTTATAATTACAAAGGTTATCTTATATAAAGCTTAATGGCACAATTTTATTTGTGAAGTAGATACCAATTGAAAATATATCTTAAATTTTTAAGCTAACATTTTTTTCTCTCTTTTCTAATGTTAGTTTTGACAAACTGTTTTATTCACAGCCGAATACCAAACAGTAATCTGCCGACCAATCAAATTTCGCGAAAAATACACCAAATATTTAAACTCGCACTCTACATAACCATTTAAAACATATTTTGTGCTGGCCAATAACCTGGTATTATGTAATTTTTATAATCGACTGTCATCATTCCGCTGTAATAACAAATTTTCGAAAAATTAAATATCTCAATTAGTCTTTTCGTAAATTTGGCCATTTTCAAAGTAATATTTAAATATTTTCAAATTGATTATACGCATTATTTTTTCTAAATTTGAACATAAACTTTTTAAGGCCAATCATTTAAAATGTATAAAATTATTTTAAACAGAAGAAAAAAAAACGAAAATCTTAAAATACCAAAATACTATTGAAAGTGAATGTTTAGCAAGGAACGAGAATGGGTTTTTAAAGTGTAAAGTAAGGAAAATTAGAAAACATTATCTTACTCTATCATCATCGTCATCTTTTCTCATGGATTCATCTTCGAATGAAGATCCATCATCACCATTTTTCCTTTCATCAAATTTGATTAATCCTCTTGACCCTTGCTTTCTGTCGCTTATTTCTCTACTCTGTTTACTTTTACCTAAAAAAATAAAATTAAAAATGGATAAATATGAATGACGAATAAATAAGTAGTAACTAATTCACAACAAAATAACTATGTACAACAAAAGAACGAAGGCAAACACAAAGGAACGAAAGCAAGCACGAAGGCATGAAGGAAAGCATGAAGGCAGGCACGAAGGAAAATTAAAAACATTGATGAAATTTATCTATCTCATTAATTTTTATAGATATAGCGACAAACATCCTAAAACATCGATATATTTTTGTTTGGTTATAGTCAGTTTATCGCGTCTCAACGAAAAACTTAAATATTTACATAGAAATTTTAAAAATATTTTGGTGGATGCTGCTGTGGGAATACCAGAAACTTCAAAAGAATTTATCTATCTTATCAATTTTTGAAGATATAGCAACAAACACCCTAAAAAATCGAAAAATTTTTTTGGTTATCTGTAAGCAAGCACGAAGGCAGGCACGAAAACAAACACGAAGGCAGTAAGGCAGGCACAAAAGCATGAAAACAGAATTTTAAACAGAAGAATTTCAAAATTTTTGAAATTCTTCTGTGTAAAATTCTAGACAAATTAAGTTTTTGTGCTGATTTTAGCAAATTCGTAAAACTCAGTAAACCACTACTTTAAATTTTCCTTAATGCAGATTATATTATACTTATGTCGAGAGAGATTTTAATATTATGATTAATTTATTTAAAAAATAAAACGTAAAAGTCACGCAAATAACCAGGAACAAATAAATATAGAGTAAATACAAGATGACTAAGATGCGACCTTACCATCATGGTAAGGCCGCATCCTACAATTATGATTATAACATAGTTTTTTTATAACACAGAGAGTAAAGCCTGTTAATAGTGAAGGCTACAATATTCTGTTTCCGCTTTAACTGTTTTCTTAACTTCTGTGGACTTTAGTAGTAACAGTGGTGCGTTCTATCGTCACAGGTACAGTACTTATTCAGAAACTTTCATTCAAAACATTTAATTTATTAAGTAAATTTTTTTCACATTAACATATTTTTAATATTTTTTTAAAAACAAATAAATAATAAATAAATAGGAAATAAATAATAGGGAATAAATAATAGGGAATAAAAAACAAATGTAACATTGTAAAATATCCGTGTTACTGTGAAATATTTGTATGTATTCAAATATTCATTTATTATAACAAATTAAGCCAGGATGAAACGTTTATAAATATATATACATATACATATAATTTTTAAACTATAAAAGAACACAATGAAAGTACAGTGGTTGCAAGATAAAGAAATCCTTCTAGACGTAACTGTTATTCAGACGTTGATCTGAACCGTACCTTTTTCACCATTGAGCATTTTACTTTCTTCTTTTCCAACACGAACAGATGATGGATGGAAGTTTGCAGAAAAATATACAAAAACGTCTGAGCACATTGTTGTTTCCTGCAAAGAGTATAAATATATTGGTAATCTAGCAGATGACAACAACAAAGATTAAGATTATTGCATTATTTCCTATTTCTAACTCTTCTATTGTATCATTGTATTGTATTTGATTTATAATTACAAAGGTTATCTTATATAAAGCTTAATGGCACAATTTTATTTGTGAAGTAGATACCAATTGAAAATATATCTTAAATTTTTAAGCTAACATTTTTTTCTCTCTTTTCTAATGTTAGTTTTGACAAACTGTTTTATTCACAGCCGAATACCAAACAGTAATCTGCCGACCAATCAAATTTCGCGAAAAATACACCAAATATTTAAACTCGCACTCTACATAACCATTTAAAACATATTTTGTGCTGGCCAATAACCTGGTATTATGTAATTTTTATAATCGACTGTCATCATTCCGCTGTAATAACAAATTTTCGAAAAATTAAATATCTCAATTAGTCTTTTCGTAAATTTGGCCATTTTCAAAGTAATATTTAAATATTTTCAAATTGATTATACGCATTATTTTTTCTAAATTTGAACATAAACTTTTTAAGGCCAATCATTTAAAATGTATAAAATTATTTTAAACAGAAGAAAAAAAAACGAAAATCTTAAAATACCAAAATACTATTGAAAGTGAATGTTTAGCAAGGAACGAGAATGGGTTTTTAAAGTGTAAAGTAAGGAAAATTAGAAAACATTATCTTACTCTATCATCATCGTCATCTTTTCTCATGGATTCATCTTCGAATGAAGATCCATCATCACCATTTTTCCTTTCATCAAATTTGATTAATCCTCTTGACCCTTGCTTTCTGTCGCTTATTTCTCTACTCTGTTTACTTTTACCTAAAAAAATAATAATTTTATAATTTACATTTCAATCTATTTGTAATTTAATGTCATAATGCTTCCATTAACTATAAATGAGTTCATGAAAAAAAACAAATGTAACATTGTAAAATATCCGTGTTACTGTGAAATATTTGTATGTATTCAAATATTCATTTATTATAACAAATTAAGCCAGGATGAAACGTTTATAAATATATATACATATACATATAATTTTTAAACTATAAAAGAAATGACAAAGCAGTAAACATGTATAGACAGTAAGTTAAAATAGTATAATCACTATGAATATAAATATAAGCTCAGATTTTTCCCATTATGTAATCGAAAACACTTGCGAGTCTTTATGAAAACTAAAAAACCGAAAAGCTATACCAGAGATTGTTTTTCAAAATTTAAAATTTTATTTTTTAAATATTAAGTAATCTTAGTTGTAACCAGCAAAGATATTGTGATGCCACAATGCCGGACTGAGATTTTTTATCGTATTCTTTATTTTATTTAAAATATGCGTTCTTCATCTCAAATTATTAGTGACTTGTTCCTGTACTGTACATCATACTTTTCCTAATAACGACAGAGCCGTGCCAGTCATCTACCGTGTTTCCCCGAAAATAAGACAGTGTCTTATATTAATTTTTGCTCTGAAAAATGCGCTAGGTCTTATTTTCAGTGAATGTCTTATTTTTTCCAGGAAGAAGAATTCACATTTATTATTGAACAAAAAAATTCCCAAGTCGAACTTAGAAGAGAGTGACGTATATCCGGTGTGTCGAACTGTCGC